AAGTTTGCTTGTAAATCAGCAATCTTTACTTTTTTTTGCCAAAACAGGACATACCAATATTTGATGGTGATCCACTGCAATTCAAAGCATTCATGACAGCGTTTGAACACAGCATTGAAACAAAGGCGCATAGTGTCAAAGACTGTTTGTACTTTTTGGAGCAGTACAGTAGAGGTCAGCCACGAGATCTAGTAAGAAGCTGTGTTCACATGCCTAATGATTCTGGATATGCTAAAGCCAAATCTTTGCTTCAAGAACATTTTGGTTGTTCACTGAAGATAATGGCTGCATACATGAATAAAGTTTTATCATGGCCGGCTTTAAAGTCAGAAGATGTAAAGGCTTTACAAGCATTCAGCTTTCTGCTCAGGGAATGCTGTAATGTGATGGAAAACAATGGATGTGTGCATGAGTTGGATGTTCCTGCAAATATGCAAACAATCATCAAAAAACTGCCCTTTAAGCTGCAAGACAGATGGAGAAATGCTGTGTGTGATCTACAGGAGAAGTATAAAAGGAGAGCCACCTTCAGTGACATTGTTCAGTTTGTAGAAAGGCAGGTGAAGATCGCCAGCGATCCACTTTTTGGTGATATTCAAGATTCCTCATTTAAACCAAAGAAGAATGTTGGGATTCATAAATCACAGCAGCGATTAAAGCTAAAAGGAAGTAGTTTTGATACTACTGTTGGAGAAATGCAGAAGAAGGCCGACTCTAAAATAAAGGAACCTGGAGAGACGGCTGCTATAAAGAGTTGTTTATTTTGTGGAGCTGGACATTCCCTGGACACATGCCCTCTACTGGAAAAGAGCACACATGGGGAGAAACTGACCTTTTTGAAAGAAAATGGGGTGTGTTTTGGCTGTTTGCGCACTGGGCACATCAGCAAAGACTGTAAAAGATGACATCACTGTAAAGTGTGTAGTTTAAGACATCCCACCATGCTTCATGTCTTCTCCAAAGAAAAGGAAACCAGTCCAGTCCATATGAAGAAGGAAGTGGAAACAACAAGTGGAAGTGCCTCCATCTCAGCACAATCAAGTGGTCTAACTGGGGCCGGCGAGCATGGTTGTACACTTTCTATTTTACCAGTCAGAGTGAAGTCTATAAAGAGCCAAGAAACAATAATAACATACGCCTTTTTAGACCCTGGAAGCTCTGCATCATTCTGTACCGAGGAACTGATGAACAGATTAAATGTCACTGGAAGACGTACAAGCATCCTTCTGCGGACAATGGGTCAAGAAAAGGTGGTTGGAAGCAACAATGTATCGGATTTGGAGATTGCTGGGCTAAATGAAGACAACTTTTGTAAATTACCTGATTTATTCACACAGAGAAGCATGCCTGTTCATTGTAGCAACATTCCCCACCAAGACGACCTTAAAGGATGGCCACATCTGAAAAGATTGAAGATTACTGAAATCAATGCAGGAGTCGATTTGCTCATCGGGACCAATGTTCCCAAAGCGCTGGAGCCTTGGGATGTCATCCGGAGTCAAAATGGAGGGCCATATGCTGTAAAGACTATCCTTGGATGGACAGTGAATGGACCTCTCAGAGGGAACTGTGATGTCAAAACAAGAGATCTACAATAAACTGCTACTGTTAACAGGATTTCTGTGTCAAGATGTGAAGATTTGTGGCAGCAACAAATGAAGGTCGATTTTCCTGAGTGTTCTCAAGATGAACAACCTGGATGGTCCAGGGAAGATAATCAGTTAATGGAGTTGGTCACAAAATCAATTAAGTTGAAAGATGACCATTATACCATCGCTTTACCTCTGAGACATAAGGATTTGAAAATGCCCAACAATAAGAAAGTGGCTGAACAGCGTGTTTTGAATCTCAAAATGAAGTTTATCAAAACCCATCAGTTCCATTCAGACTACACTAACTTCATGAATGACATAATTTCCAAAAGCTATGCAGAGAGAGTTTCAGTTGAAAATCTTGAACAGTGTGATGGGAGGGTTTGGTATATACCACACCATGGAGTATATCATCCTCACAAGAAAAAGACGAGTAGTGTTTGACTGTGGTGCAACATTTGGAGGAAAATCTTTAAACACTCAACTCTTGCAGGGTCCAAACCTCACTAGTTCATTGGTTGGTGTCCTCATCAGATTCAGAAAGGAACCAGTTGTCATCGCAGCTGACATTGAGGCCATGTTTCATCAGGTCAGAGTACCACCGTTCGACTCTGATCTGTTGAGATTTCTTTGGTGGCCAAATGGAGAATATGAACAACATCTGGTGGAGTATCAAATGATTGCACACCTTTTTGGAGCTACATCATCTCCAAACTGTGCATGTTTCGCACTGAGAAAGTGTGCAGAGGACAATCAACAACTGTTTAGACCAAACGTCATAGAAGCTGTACTTCCCAATTTTTATGTGGATGACTGCTTGGTTTCTGTGAGCACAGAAGAGGAAGCTATCTCAATATATCAAGTACTTCGTGCCCTGTGTAAAAAGGTGGATTTCAACTTCTCAAATGCATAAGTAACCGACGTAGTGTTCTTACTGCTATACCACAGCATGAAAGGTCCATTGAGGTGAAGAACCTGGATATGGATAATGATGACCTGCCAGTGGAGCGTGTGTTGGGTATACAGTGGTGTGTACAATCAGACCTACTAAAATTTAAAAACACCCTCAAAGACAGACCTTTGACAAGACGAGGAGTCTCGTCTATCATAAGTTCCATTTATGATCCTCTTGGATTTCTGGCACCAGTTGTCTTGGTTGCAAAGGGGATTCTACAAGATCTAAGTTGAAGGCATGTTGGTTGGGATGATCTTTTGCCACATGATGCAGCTCAGAAGTGGAAAAACTGGTTAGAAGGATTTCATCAGCTTGAACTGTTTGGAGTTAACAGATGTCTGAAGCCACAGAACTTTGGAGAAGCTTCAAGCTCACAGCTTCATCATTTCAGTGATGCTAGCGAGAACGGATATGGAACTGTGAGCTACTTGTTGCAGTCTAATGCTGATGGGCAGGTGCATTGTGCATTTGTAATGGGTAAAGCCAGAGCTAAGAGAAGAGACTGAAAAATGGAATCAAACTCTAATTAAGACAACAGGGGTGGAGGCCTCCGTGTTCAACTGTCCCCCTCTTACAATGCTGTGATTGCTAGTATCACTCAGCCCTCTGTGAACAGTAAACAGCCATCAGGTGCTAATGATCCATTGTTAGGCTGATGGTCCTTCTTGAGCATGTGATCAGCTGGTTCTGGTTGTCAGCAGCAAACTGGTTGATCCACTCTGAAAAGGTGCTATTTAAGAGACTGAGCTGAATACAGCACCTTAGACTGAGGAAGTCTTTCGGATGAGAGACGAAACGTTTCTATATATATATATATATTTTTTTTTTTTGTTATTTTGCTTTGTTTTGTTTTTTGAATGTGCAGAGGACCAGATTTAACTTTTTTAGATTTTTCTACCTGGATTATTGAGCATGCATCAGGATATCTAAAGCCCCCAGTATACTGCCGCGTACATCCATACGCAGAGGTACGCACGTACGTACGCAGAGGTACGAGCGTACCCCCCAGCATAACCTTTGTGCAAAGCTCAAATTTTTACGACCGCATACGCGTACGCGGTGTCGCACAATAAACTGCCCAGCGACGGACTGTTTTGTATGCGACACCAATGTATTAAATTCCCCTTCTTCATCCCTGATCTGGCCTTTTCTTTTGTTGTTTTGCCAAGAGGCAGTGATCTCTTCCTCCTCCGTTGATGCCATGACTGAAATGGTGAGAAATGGAGGAATTTGTCACAAGAGAATTAAACTCAGGGTGTACGCTGGAGTATAATGACTGAACCCTCTGCGTTCAGTACATGCGTACGTACGCGTGAACGGACGTACGCAGCAGTATACTGGAGCCTTAACTTTGAAACTTATCCAACATTAATAAAACTTACCTCAAGTTGCCTTTTTGGTCATGCATGCATATATTTGTACAAATTGTACTTGAGAGGAGATTATTACAGCCTCATATAAAATCAATGATGATCATGATATTGGAATAGTATCGTATCGGCTGATATCCAGATGTAGGTATCGGGATCAGTGCATCCCTACGTACAGTGCACATCCACGGGATGACCACAACCCACTTGTGGAGTTTTCTGTGTCGCTGCCTTGCCATCGTGATTCAGTTCCTGGCCCCCTTCCTGCTCAAGCTCAGGGTCCAGCCTGTCATGGCAGCCATCTCCATGATCCTCCATCTGCCTGCATGGACCGAATTCTACGGACCCGTTCAGTTCCGCAGGGAAACCTTGGATGTTCTCTGTCTGCCAGACCCGGTTCTGGAGGGCAGACTAGGAGGGCAGCTGCTACGGTCCTTATTATTATCATGCTGCTGATGGGACCTGCTAACGCTGTTAACAAGACCACGCTGCTAACAGAACAACACCGCTAACAGTAACATGGTGCCAATGGGACCATGTTGCTAAGATAACCTCACTGTCATCAGAACCACTCTGCTAATAGGACTATGCTGATACAGATTTATTTCTTTTTCACTTTTGGTGCCTTGTTTTTGTATTTTTGTTGCATGCTTTGGTATTTGTTGTTGCTGGGTTTTTTTGACGAGTCAAGACGGTTCTTCTTGTCCCGAGCATTGCATTGCACTGTCCTTGTGTTGATTTTGCATGACAAATAAACCAAACCCAAACCTGAAGTCATGGTGAGAAGCACAGACAATCTTGTAGCCACAGCTCAAGGCTGCCACCTCAACAACTGAAGTGCAGAACATGGCCCACTTGGACTCAATGTCCCCCGCTTCAGTTGGAATGTGGTTAAAGCTCATGCCAAGATATTCAAATATTCAAATCCAAAAGAACCAGATAACCTACAACAGAAATCACGAGTGTTGACATGACAGGTCTAACTCAAAACTCAAAACAGGTAAAAATTAGGGATGATGTTCACTTTTATGATTTTAGACAAAAAACAATCTTCAAATGATCCGTCAGAACAGGACCGCTCACCTTTCCATGGTGGGGACTCTGGCTTTACTTTTGATGGCCAGGTACTTCTCTCTGCATCCCCCACACAGCAAGTAATATGGGTTCCCGCTGCCACACTCCCCTCCAAACCAGCCGTCCACGTAGGAGCCGTTGCTACGGTAACCCTGCCGGTTTGCGCTGCGCCCACAGCCGGGGTGACTTTTCTTCATATGATGGTTGAAGTTTGCCACATTGGCCTCACAAAGCTCACACACCACCACTTCGTCTCTGTCGTCTGTCTCACACACATGCTGCAAGGGTTTAAAAGCACACATGTAGATGTCAACACACACAGAGGGTTTAAACTTGAAAGGAAGCATTCATGCAATGGATTCTACTTTGGAAGAAGAGTCAATGATTAATTTGTAATCAAGCAACAGCCAGTCCACATTGCCAATAAAGTTTTCCACAGCAGAGATTTGGTTCATGCTTGTCAGATCAGCCAAAGGTGTTCTGCTGTTTAAACGTGCATGTGTGGATACTTTCAGAGCGACAGGTGAAATCGGTGAACAACAGCTCATTAGCTGGAGCATAAAGTCACACACACCCATGTTGGCCAGTCCAGTACCTCCGGGATCCACATTCCCAGAATGTCGGTGTCGTTGGAAAGGTCCTGGCCGAACATGGCTTCCATGGTCTCCTCATCTAGGTCCATCTCCAGCTCTTCATCCAGATTGAAATCATACAAGGCGCCCGGGTCTTGTTGCTGCTGGAGAGGTGAAACCTCTCGGCGAGACTGGCTGTGGTGGGCCTGAACTGAGCGGTACAGTCCAGCTGAGAGGGACAGAAAGTTCAACATGAGCTGATAGGCACTGTGTTTACTGTAGTAAAGATGAAAAATCTGTTCTTACCAGCGCGGGCCAGAAGGGTGCGAGCAGCTAAGTCAAAGCGGTGTTTCCTCCCAGCTGCAGAGCGCCCTCTAAGTGGGGTGCTGCTGGAGGCTGAAGCACTGTCCTGTTCCACACCTTCAGGACTACAAACCAAATAACACAAACACAAAATTGATTAAAAAAAATCCTACCATAGGCAGAAACACATCTCCTCCAGTTCTCATTATGGGGGAGTGGTGGTGCAGAGATTAGAAGATGAACCTGTGATCAGAAAGTCGCAGGTTCAACTCCCGGCACCGTCAACATCAAAATGTGGGTGGAAAACGTTGGTTACGTACTGTAACCCCAGATTCTATGAGTATAGACGTAGCCCTTTAAGGCTGTCGCTGGTGGGTTTATCCCGTCATGCAAAGCATCGCACTGAAAAGTTTAGTCCACGCCCACCGGTTGTGTGGGCCCCACCCGGTCCATATAAAATACGTTAAGAGCGGGTAATCGGCTCCCAAATAGCTTTTTCTTCAGCCATTTAGGAGCCAGTGAGGCCCGACGCTTAAAGGGTTACGCCTATACTCATAGAATCTGGGGTTACAGTACGTAACCAACGTTCTATTTCATATAGGCTTCGACCTTTAAAGCTGTCACTGGTGGGTTAAGGGCGAAGCAGATATAGTCCTCACCTCACTGGGTCCATTCGAACACTATATGAAGCGCCAGCTTGCCCAAAAAATGTCTTGTCACTCAGCTCCCCATGTGTGTAATTGCGCATTGCGTAATTACGCGTACCATGCACAGACGCATGCTGCGTAGTAATGCGTTCTGAGTGCATGAACGCCCCGGAAAAGTTTTCAACGGGGAAAATGAAGAGGCTGAAAAAGGCTGTGAACCAAGCAGATCCACGGTTGATCAATATGAACAGATTAATAATAACAAGTGAGCTGATTATTAATCAAATGAACTGATTGGTAACAATAGTCATGAACTGATTAGTGACAATAGAACAAGAACAACAGTCACAACCTGTGACTTATAACAACATCTCACACTACAATGTAATTCATGCAGTCAGATGTGAGTTTAAACGAGATTCCATGAAACAACAATATTCATTCTGTTAAGGCACTAAGGACAGAATGTGTCATGGAAAGAGCCGTCACATCACGTAAATAAAAGCGAATAAATAAGCAGGGTGTTGACCACGCGGTCGCAATGCAAATGTCCTGCATTGTCATACCATTATGCAAGGCTGTTGAAGATGCGATACCCCTGGTCGAGTGTGCTCTGAGGTTGACAGGAGGCTCTAACTCTGATGCTCTGTAGGCTTCAGAAATGGCCTCACACAGCCAGTGTGACAGGCGCTGGGTGGATAACGGGCGACCTACAGATGCATCTCTATAGTGCACAAACAAATGTTGAGTCTGACGCAGTGTCGCCGTGCATGTTATGTAGCACATCAACGCACGCACAGGACAGAGCAGATGGAAAGATGCTTCTTCTTCTGATTTGTGGGGAGGAGGGAAAAATCCCTCCAACGATATCGCTCTTGATTTAAAAGAGCTTGTGATGTTTTAAGGCATAAATGCTGGATTAGGCCTCAGATCAGCTGAGCTGCCATCAGCCTGAATTCTGAGACATGACGGCGCGACAGAGAGGGCAGATAAATCACTCACCCTCTTAGCGGATGTTAAAGCCAGCAGCAGGGCTGTTTTAAGAGACAAGAATTTAATCAGAAACTGATCTAGTGGCTCGAATGGAGCTTTGATCAGGGCTTGCAGAAGCAGCGTTAAATCCCACTGTGGAGCAAGTGGGTGTGAAAACAGGCCGGCGTCTCTGTACACCTTTTGAAAAACGCTTCATCAGCGGATGATTAAAAGCTGTTCTGTCCCCGACACCTTCGTGACAGGAAGAGATGGCTGCAGCATACGTTTTAATCGTGCTGAATGCCAGATTTCTGTCCATCAGCTGCTGCAGAAAAGACAGCATGCCACTTAGTGGACATGAAGTGGCCTCTACACCTTCCTCTGTACACCATTGCTGAAAAGCTGTCCACTTTGATGTGTACAGCGCTGTGGTAGATGCAGCACGTGAATCCTGGATTGTGCACGTTACATCTTGCGGGAGACCCATCCTCTCTAAGCGGAACCACTCATGGCCTATTTCTGGGTAACTCCTGATCGCTCCTCCCGCCTGGAGGAGAGCATCCTCCCTCCACGGCAGTTTCCACGGGCGCCCCGATAACAGGCGTCGTAGAATTGGGAACCATGGTGCGTTCACGCGCTCGGGAGCCACCAGGAGAGCTGTCAATCCCTCCTCCTGAACTCGGTTCGGAAACCGTGATATCAGAGGGAGTGGGGGAAATGCGTAAAGAAGCATTTTGGGCCACGGGCTGTGAGCAAACGCGTCCACCCCTAGCGGTGGATCGTATCGCGGGCTCAGTGAGAACCATAGTTGACACTGAGCGTTCTCTTGTGTTGCAAACAGGTCTATGGCCGCTTTGCTAAATCTCTGCCATGTATGAGCCATCAGCTCTGGATGGGGGGGTCCAGTCCCCATGACGCGGACCGCCCCTGGACATCACATCCGCCCCCTTTGTTCAGAATACCGGGGATGTACACTGCTCTGATGGAGAGCAGATTTTGGTGTGCCCAATACAGCAACCGTCTTGCAATGTGTAACATTTGGGCTGAGCGCACACCCCCTGCCGGTTTATGTATGCTGCAGTCACTTGTTGACTGTGTGAAGCAACACATGTTGATTCCGGAGCACAGAGGCAAAGTGTTGAATCCCATTCAAAACTGTGCGACCTTCCAGAGCGTTTATATGAGCTGCTGTGTGAGGTAGCCACAGGGCACCTACAGCTCTGGATAGGCATGTTCCTCCTCAACCTGGCAGCGACGCGTCTGTGAAGACTGACACGAGTGACGTAGGTCTGCTGACAGGGACTCCCTCTGACAGAACCAGGGGGTTTCCCCAGTGTCGGAGGTCTGTTCTCACGGAAGGAGGTACAGCGATCATCCGTCTCTTCTGCTTTACCGGATCCACACACAGACGAGCAAAACATCTCTGGAGGCGTCGCATGTGGAGTAAGCCCAGAGGAACCACTGTGTGAGCTGACGACATCATTCCTAACAGCTTCATGACGGGAATGGCTGTTACCACTCTGCCAGGCCTTACGTGACGGAACTGGTCTTTTAGAGTTTCGATTCTCATCTGTGATAAACGAGCCCTCAGTGATCTAGTTAGTTCCACTCCCAGATAAACGATAATCTGGGCTGAGAGAATCGAGCTTTTCTCCCAATTTATGGCGAAGCGCAGATTTAACAGGTGTGACGTCAGCACCTGGGTCCACGCCGCTGCTTCCTGTCTGGAACAGTCAGCAGCAACAAATCGTCTAGGTAAAATAAAATTCTCATCCCTGCTCTGTGTAACGGTTGATCGGGATGTGGAAGTAGGCGTCTTTCAGATCGATGGAGATAAATCAATTGTTTCACTGAATGTTGTCTAACCGCTGTCTGGTTGTCAACATGTGAAACTGTATTGAAAAATTGACAAGTTCAAAAAGGTTCATATCCCTCCGGTCCATTTTGGGACCAGGAAGAAACGTGAGTAAAACCCTGTGTTTTCCTCTCCGTCGGGAACCCTGGAATTTACATATTTTATCAGAAATTTCCTGAACTTCTGTGTGTAGGGATGAGATCTGGACTGAGTATGACAAAACCGTCTCTAAAACTCCTCCAAACGGGGGTTTGAGCTGTAATTACAGTGTGAATCCCACGCTGAAAAGAACGGTTCATCCATCTGTCTAGAACGCACGCTTGCTGCCACTCCGCGTAACATTCGGGAAGCAGGCAGGCGTTTATGCTGCGTCACGTTATTTACGAACACCAATCACCGCCGTCATGTGTGCCGCACTCAGGCTGCGGGCTCACATCCGTGTCAATGTGAGCTGGTGTGCGCTGAGGGAAGGTGCGCACGCCCCGAGCATGTGGAACCGTGTAGATTTAGGGCTGCCGCGGATGCGAAGTGCTTCTGTGCCGCGCTCCGGCTGCGGGCTCACATTCATGCTGATGTGAGCCGGCATGCGCAGAGGGAAGGTGCGCGCCCCAAGCATGCGGAACCGTGTAGATTTAGGGCTGCCGCAGGTGCGCGGTGCTTCTATGCCACACTCAGGCTGCGGGCTCACATTCATGCTGATGTGAGCTGGCGTGTGCTGAGGAGAGGTGTGCGTGCCCTCATCAACGCAGCGCCGTTTGGATGAAAACTGCCGGCCCCGCGGGAGCGTGCGTTTGACACCGCTGCGGTGAGAGGAAGCGACGCACACCTCAAGCTGAGAGCGAGGTTTCTCACTGGACTCGGACTTCTGAACGCATTCACTTTGGGCTGCTGTGTCACGCAAGCGTTCTGTGTGTTCTTTGAGCTGCAGTGATTTTGAAAAAAACTTGTTTTGAGGACACCGGCTAGTTTGTGTGGGGGATGTGTGAGGAGAAATCGCTGTGAGGTCATTCGAACTGACAGACTGGCTGAATCGGCCACTTTAATCTTTGAATGATGTTAGTGTTTTATTTCAAAACTCCTGTCATCATTTGCACACGCACATACCCCGCAAGGAGTCATTCCTGAATCTTCTCCCCTGAGAGCCCTGCAGTTTGTTGTCCCAGGGCGCTGCCTGTTGGCGATCTCTGGGAAACGCTGAACCGCTGGTTGCCGGGATGAGAAGGGCTGTTCTCTGACGGGCGGGGCTGGCAACGGAACAGAGCGGGAGGACGCTGCTGCAGCTGTGGAACATCTCTGTTTGCTGCCTTTGGCCACGACGATCCTTCCAGCGGGCCGGGGGGCGGGATGAGGCGTGCGGCTTTGTCAGATGGCGCACAGTCTCCAACACATCCTCCGGCTTTTTCGATTTCTCGAGCATGTCCTTGAAAATTGGCTCCGAACTGTACGTCCGCTTCTCCGACAGGGAGGGGGGACAGTAGACGAGGCACACGGGTTGAGGGTGACGTCAGACGCCCTGCAGATGGAGCTCTTGTCTCCTCAGGCAGGTCTGTCCCTCCAGCCTCTGAGATGCTGTACATCAGCGGCGCAACGTTATTGTTCGCTGCGGCCGCCTGGAAAGCACACTGGTGAGCTCGGTTGTAGAGCGACGTCACCGTCTGGTCATGCCTCCCCGGAGGCGCAGGACGCTGGTCCAACCTGGACATCTTTGCTCCGAGAGCCTCCGCCAAGCTTGGCTCCAGGGAGGCACTGAAGGAATTTACGCTCGGTAAAACCCCTCCACTCTGGTGATGGGCGCGGATTGGAAACTGGCGCTCTCAGTCTACCAGGTCCAGCTGCAGCCTCGTTCCAGTAGGACGTCACTGCTGGGAAACGAGGCCAGATGGGATCAGGACGGCGAGCCAGGGTGGAGCCAAAAAACCTTCCCGCTAGATCATTCGATTTGGGAGGGTGAAAGAGAGGGACGGAAAAAAGTCCCTTCATGTCAGCTGCCTCCTGGATTATGCCGGGCAGCTCCGATAGGAGGGGACCGAGGGCTGGGAGCAGTGTGGTCGCCGATGCAAAAAAGGCCCGGGGGGGGGGGGGGGGGGGGG